TATTAATCCATTAATCTTGTATCATGATTTTGGGTGTTGAATGATTTTATGGGAATTTTTTATCAGTTTTTCAGTTTTTTATGAAGTATATTAAGTTGTAGAAGTATCTTTAAGTTATTAACAAAGATATTTTAATTCTTTAGATTTTTTTTTTTAATGGTTGATTATTAAAAAATTTTTTTTTTCTTCTGAAAATTAACGTTTCTAATTTTGAATAAGTTTTACTAAAAATAGTCTTCTAAAGGACGTTTCTATTCTAGAATCTTAGTAACAGGAAAAAACATTATTTCCATTTTTAAATTAGGCTATTCAATCCAAATTATCTTTAGATTCTTTGCCAATTAAAAGTTTCTTATTGATGGCTTAAATAAAGCAAAGGAGATTAATTTTAATTATTAATTAAGTATTTTCTTAAGGATCTTTTTTCAATTAGTTTCAAAAAATAACAAAGCTTTGAAGGTAATTATTACATAATTTAACTTCAACATATATTTGATATTTTCGTAAAATTTAACAATTTTTACCTTCTTTTATAAAATTATAATTTTTCTATAATTTGCCATATATGAATTAAAAATATAAAGAAATTTTTCATACACATACATGAAGATTTTACCAATAATTTTTATTTTGGAGCAGCATAAATTACTTCTGAATATGCAGCCACCTAAAATTCATTTTTATGATACTTTACTGGTAATCTATTAGATATATAGCATGAAGATGGGTTATATTGGAGGAGGGTATGTGTTATTATATTAATAGTTCATTATAGAACATATAATATATATTATAATGGTTATTGTTATAATCATGATTAATAAGATAAAAATGGTTAATCAATAGCATTTTCATTTACAACTAATGATATAATAATAGTTGAAGTGGATATCCAAAAGAAGTATGTGAAATGGACAAAGTAATCCACAAATCAATCATTTGTATCAATTTCAATTTTTATTATTAGACTCTATCTATTGATACATCCAAAGATTTGTATCCATGTCTACATTTGTTTGGTAGATCTAAAGTAGAAATATTAAATTAAGTGTTCAAATGATAAAACATTTTAATATATAAAGATAGATTTAAGTTTATATAATATAGTTATTTTTTTTTATTTTAAAAATGCAATTGAATATAATCAAAATTTTAGAAATTCATAGGAATTTAATTTAGTGGATATCTAATTTATTACAGTGATTAACCTTTTAGAATTCTATCAGATTAAATATAGTTATTAATTTTAAATAAAATTTTTATAATAATTCAATAAATTATAAAAAAAATTTAAACATGAATAATATATTTTAATATGAGAGATTAATCAATAAAGTACACAATGGATTCAAAAGATCCTAGAAAGCATTGACTTGTTTAACTTAATATATCTTGAACTAGTACTCTGATATCACTAAGCAATTATTTGGTTGTTTTTTTATTATTTCAAATAACTTTAATCAAAATCGCTTTAATGAAAACTTTGGCTCCCTATTAATAAATTGGAAATTATTTATCTAATTGTATTTGGCTAATATTTTAAATAAATTATTTTTAGTTTGTAGTTCTTCTAATAACATATTATTATCTTTAAGATATTAAATTAGATTATTTTATATATATTATGAATAATTTTACAAGTTTTGTCTAATCTTATAATATATTTGCAATTTTTCAAAATTTAGTAATTTTTTCTAATAAAATTAACATATTTATGATACATTTTGTCACCATTTGTTGGCAATAAGCTTAATTTTTCATTACTTTAAAAAATTTGATTTTTATAGTTATAATTAATAAATTTTTTTTAACATGTTAAATGTGATAAAATATAATTTATTAAAACTATTGTATCATAAATTCGAATTAAAATTTTAAAAAAACTAAAAGAAATGTAAAAAGTATGTTTCTTTTTGTAATACTAATCATTAGATATTTTTATCAACAT